TCAAAACCTCTAATCGGCGTAATGTTGCCCATGTAGTGAAACTACAATAAGCTGTATTTTATGTACACCATACTGTATTATAGCATATTTGAATTATACAGTTCAGTAATTGAATTTGTACAGTACTGTAATTTGAAAAGCGTTTGAAACAGCTGTACTGTATTTTGAAAATGTACTACAAATGTCAATGAGATCGTAATCTGGCAGATACATAAAGCAAACAAAAAAATTGGTTATAACGATCATCCGCCTATAGTGATCAGTTTCACCCAGACAGACGTGATTACTACAAGCCGTTTCCACTGCAATTTATTTTGTTTGCAAGTAATGCAAAGTATTTGTTAACTTTTTTTTAGGGGACTTGCTTTTTACATTAAAACTAAAATGTGACCTTTTTCATAAGACGTTTTCATTTCAAGCAATTTGTGCTTTGATTTCAGTTGTTTGAAATATTCAATAACCATCAATGGTTCATCTGTGTGTTTCCTTCAATTGTTTTAAAATAATAAAGATAAGGTATACAATCTTTCATTAGAAAAAATATCCCAGCTTTAATTGTTAACCATTTTTACAGTACAAACCTTGTCAGTGAAATATGAGGGCAAAAAAAACCAAACAAAAAAATCAAAAACATAATTAATCGTTCATTAATCGTAATCGAGATAAAATGTTCAGTCAATTGTGACATTGACTTGAGGTCATATCACCCAGCTCCAGCTTATACATCCTTGTGTTTTCGCCCTGCACACAATCGGTCTCCCAACAGCAGCCCGGACAGAAACCCAGCTTTGTCAATCTCACCACGTTACGTTTTTGTTGCGTCTGGGTCACAGAGGTTCTGATCCAGATCGGTGGTGTTTTTGGAGGCTGTGTGTTTGTGCTGCTTGGCAACGGGCCTGTTGAGTGTCTGTCGATCCCCATCTGTGAGCTTTGACTTGTGGCTGCTGTTCCTCTTTGCCCACATAGTTTCTGCATGATTGGAACATGCCGTCATGATTTTTGTGACTGTTCCCCCCAAGAAATCGATACAGCTGAAATTCAAGCACTGAGCCTTTGGCATCATTTGACCTCATGTGGCTCTGAAAACTCGCATATCAAAGTGCTGGTTGCCAGAACTCTTTAATAGCTGACACATGCTACTCATTAGCAACATAAAGTGATTCGCTTTTAGAGTTTGCACTTGTTATTGTAATTAAGTACCTTCAAAGTTAAAGTGCCTCTTCTGTCATTTTTGTCCATTTTGTCATTTTTGTGCCAGAGTTAAATCTGAGGATAATTCTATTGACACTGAACCAGGATTCAGTTACTGGTATTTCTACATTATCCTATAAGTATCACAGTGGCTTTTGTGTGTGTGCGTGCGTGTGTGCGTGCATGTGTGGTGTGTGTGTGTGTGTGTGTGTGTGAAATCAATTCTGGCGCCAAAGTTAAAATCCACGAAGTTCTATTTCACAAAGAATGATGGTGAATGTTTTGAATAGTTTTGTTCTGTTCAAGACATGGTCTCTTAAGTGGTGATTGTGTAAATATGAATGTTTCTTGTGGGAATCTATTTTGAATCGCAGATATAGTCATACAAAGAATCTCCTGATGTGAAGACTCTGACTGTGGTTGGCTCTCGTAGCTCCACACGTAGCGTGTTCTGCTGACGAAGCGAAGGTTCTGGGTTCAAATCCTAAAGAGCCAACATCTGCTTTATAGCCTTCCCCTTTACAATAAGCCGCTTTGGATAAAACTGTCAGATAAATGAATGAATGTAGTGTAAACTGAGGGATTGCTAGTCTATTTATACTGTGAGGAACCGGATATTTGCCAATCATGACAAGAAGAAAAAGAACGAATGGAAAATTCAATGGAAACCAAAATATTTATGTCCAGACATTGATGATAAAGAGGAACTTAGAGAGTTTCTGGCGTGCATGCTGGTGGTTTCTGTGTGGTGGAAAATGGCAGAAGCAGTAGAGAACTCCTCCAGTTCCTCACCTTAGCTCACCTTTCCCGTACCCCCTCCTCAACATCGTGGGAGGGGGGGTGGGGGCGAAGTGCAACGGGAGCTTTTGCGTAACCGCAGATTGTGTGTTCTTTCACGTTTGCTTTCACTCGCCGCTTCGCTGTTTGTCCCCCCCCCCCCCCCCACCGGATAGGAATAAAGGCAGGGAACAATATTTATGTTTCTGCCTGTGGTGTTTATTGTGTTTAGGGCTCTTTTTCCTGCTTCAGCGCGCTACACAGCCTTGTTGTTAGGTCCCTGCCTGCTGGGCAGTGAATCCTGCCATGGGACCGGCTGTTTGCGCTCAGCGGAGTGGCGCGTCAAAGGTTACGCATGGGGCCATTCCCCCCCCCCCACGGGTTGACCTGGGATCAACGCTGTCCTTTGAACAGAAGGGCGCTGAGGATTATGTCTGGGTTGCTGGATAGTTAAACAAGGCTTATGGGCTTCAATTGCATGGAGCAGAATGGATGGTAATATGCGGTGTTGTTAGTGTATAATTCTAAGCAAAAACCTGTGAGCAAGTGAAACGCAAGCGAAAGAGAACTTTGTATGTTTTTTGATGAGGCCCACAAGTCTTCGGTGTATTATCTTCGTTCAGCTTTACCCAACCAGCTCATATCTAGCATGGGACAGAGGGTGGCTTGCATGTGCTGCGCCCATCCTCAGCCTTGCCTGCTTAATTCACTGGCAGCCAAACTGTAGCGTGTGTGAGGGTGAGACGCTAACAGAGGAGTGACGCTAACAGAGGAGTGACGTACCCCATCCCGCGGGCGACTGGTGGCTCGCAGGCACTCCGTGGAGTGGAGGAGCAGAGTGTCAGGTCCCACCCACTCTCTCCCGCCTCCGGCTGGATAAAAGCAAACTATTCCAGAGCTTCAGGTTCAGGTTTGCACTGTGCAGAAGCCTTAGGCAGTCAAAGCAGGTACTAAGTACAGTGGTACCTCGGTTGTCGAACAATCCGTTCCAGAATCGTGTTTGAACACTGATCAGTTCGAGAACTGAACATATTTTCCCCATAAGAAATAGTGGGAATCTGAAGAATCTGTTCCCACACCCAAAAATTCAGCCATGGTGACGATATTTTACACAAGAAAAGCTTAAACTGAAGCGTCTCCCATTTGTGTACCCTTTGTGTACACGGAGAAAGGCGGACGCATGACTCATTTTGACCTGTGCAGGTTCTTTCAGGTTGGCGTCTTGGTTTGACTATCGAGCAGCGTTACTGAGCAGATTTTTTTCCGGAAAAAGCTGTTCGGGTGGTGGGTAGTTCGGACTCGGAGCAGTTAGACAACCGAGGTACCGCTGTATATATACAACTGTAGATATAAAAAACATAGGTAACACTTTACTTAAGGCCATGTTTTTAATATTTTATAAACACATTCATAATGCATTATAATGCATTCATAAAGCATCATGAACATGGCTATAAATATGTATAAAATGGAATAACACATTATAGGCATGTTTATTATGCATTATGAATGCTTTATGAAGCTCTCATCTATAATGCACTATAGGTACCTTCATAATGCAGTACAAAACACCCTTAATGCTTATACGACCATTATAATGCATTATAAAGGCATCTGTAGTGCATTATAAACGAGAGCCATGGTAAAGTGTTACCAAAACATATATATAAACCACAATTTAACATTAGTATATATGCAAATTAATAGTAGAATAGTGATGTTTTATTAACCCCTTTGGGGTATTTCTATTTTTGCCTACCTCATCTTGACCCACAGATAGGGGGGAGCAAGCAATGCGGGGGGGGGGTCACACACAGGGTTAGCTACCTTGTGGTCCCCAAGTGAGTATTAAGGACTTTGCTCAAGGGCTCATAGACATGTGATTGTTACGGTGAGGCTGGGCTCAAACTGGCAACCTTCTGATGACAGGGACAGATGCTTAGCCCACTGAACCACATCCGCACCTTTGGGATTGGGGCTCGAGTCTCCACCCTGGCTCCATGCGTGGAGTTTGCATGTTCTCCCCATGTCGTCATGGGGTTTCCTCTGGGTTCTCCATTTTCCGCCTACATTCCAAATGCATGCGGAGGATAATTGGAGTTCCTGAATTGCCCATAGGTGTGAATGGTGTGTGAGTGTGCCCTGTGATGGGATGGTGCCCCATCCTGGGTTGCCCCCTGCCTTGTGCCCTGTGATGGGATGGTGCCCCATCCTGGGTTGCCCCCTGCCTTGTGCCCTGTGATGGGATGGTGCCCCATTCTGGGTTGCCCCCTGCCTTGTGCCCTGTGATGGGATGGTGCCCCATCCTGGGTTGCCCCCTGCCTTGTGCCCTGTGATGGGATGGTGCCCCATCCTGGGTTGCCCCCTGCCCATAGGCTCCAGACCCCCTGCAACTCTGTATAGGATAAGCAGTTACAGAATATGGATGGATGGACAGTTCAGGTTGTGAAGGTACAAATTCAGACCAGGATTTTGTTTCAGCTAACCAGTTGCATACTCTGTGAATGTGACTCTTTATACTGAACTTGCTTGGTTGAAACAAAATCCTGGTCTGGATTTGTACTTTCTCAACCTGAACTTTTCACCTGTGGTTTTCTCATTACTCTCAGCTGTTCCATGCTGTCTTTCCTCTGCGGCGGCGACGCAGTTCTAACGGGCCAGTAAGATGTGGTTGCTGTTCTCTTCACACTGGCCTTCTGCTGACGAGTGACGTAACGGCTGATACCCAGCCGGCTGCTCCGAACAGCTCGAAAAAACTGCATCACAGCACTTTTTCCCATAATTGTGGAACTTCCAGTCCCATAATTCATTGTGAAAATAGCCTGATATGACATGCGAACTACTGTGAGAAATTACTCCATACTAGCTTGTCTGTTTTAAAGAACTGTTGTACAAAATTACGTAGACCTTCAGCTGTCAGGATAACATTTGCAGTGGAGTATAGTGAGTGGTCCTTGGTTTCCAGCACAGTTTGTATTGGAGTGGTGCTGACCTCATTCGTGACCCCCCCCCCCCTCCTGTCATCCTCACAGCATGGGTTGGCTCCCTCTCCATGGGTGTGATCTTCTTCTGCTCCCCCATCGTCAGCATCTGCACTGACCTGGTGGGCTGTCGGATCACCGCCGTGGCTGGTGCCGCCGTAGCCCTGGTGGGGTTGCTGTCCAGCTCCTTCGTCTCGTAAGTGCCCCCCCCCCTCCCCCCTCGGGTCTTAGTTTCATAATCCCCGTCCCCATCTATCCTCAGTGCCCGTCACTGTCTGGGAAATCGATCTGTGACATACGACTCCACGGATTCAAGGGTTTTGGCATCAGTGTCTTACACACAATGAGATTACGTTGGTGTCTCTCAATGCCCATGCAGTACAAAAATGAAGTAAATAATACAGAAAAGTTGTAAACAATAAACAAAAGAGGTAGTCAAACTATGAAAGACTTCAATTATAAAGACAAAGACAATGTAACAGGATCATAACACAAAGGGCAGAAGTGACAAATGTCCATTATTGTAGGTTATCCTCCGTGATGAGACTGGCCCATTTTGTGCCCCTCACTGGATCATAAATAATCTCTGTATGAGGTGAGATACACAAAAGGCATTGATATTCAAAGCTGAACTCTCAAAATCAAGCCAGCTCGGCCAGAACACTTATTAAAAATTGCACAATGGTATTGGAGATGTCACAATGTTTATTACTGTTAAACTGATAAATATTAGGATTCTTTATGAAAGGTGCATCAATTTGGGAGTTTGAATGCTGTCTGTAAACGCTTCTTATATCTCTGAGCAGTGGAACTTCTTAGCTTAGTCTCTGTGACCTTCAACGATGTCGTGTAGTTTCCAGTTGAACGTTCCACAGTTGGGGTGTGCTTCATTCTTCCATCATGGTGATGTGTCAGCATTCCTGGATCGGAACCGAAATGGTTCTTGTTGGATTTGCCATGCTGGGCCTAAGGGCTGAATCACTGGTGAGAGAGTAGCTGACTACCTTTGATAACGGTGTCGGGTAACCGACTTGCTTCACAGATCCCTCGAAGCCATGTACTTTACCTACGGCATCGTGTTTGCCTGCGGCTGCTCCTTCGCCTACCAACCGAGCCTCGTCATCCTGGGCCACTACTTCAAGAAGCGCCTCGGCCTGGTCAACGGCATCGTGACGGCGGGCAGCAGTGTCTTCACGGTCTCGCTGCCGTTCCTGCTGTCCATGTTGCTGACTCGGGTGGGGCTCGCCAACACACTACGTGCCCTCACTGTCTTCATGTTCATCCTCATGCTGGCGGGCTTCACCTACAAGCCGCTGGTCCCCAACCCCGCCGCTGCCAGCAAGACCGGCCGGCGCTTCCCACCCATGAGCAAGATCTTCAATATCAGAATCTGGAAGTCCTTGGGCTACCGGATCTGGGCCTTTGGCATCCCCGCCGCTCTCTATGGATACTTTGTGCCCTACGTTCACTTGGTGAGAGTCGCTGCTATTTAATCGCTCTTCATAATGCGCCGAATTGACTGTCCTGTCACAGTGAATCATTAAAGGTGAAACTCACATTCAGCTATGGGCATAAATTATGGGGGGGTGGGGAGGGGTTGTAACCAATAATCAAAAGCAGCCAATACAACCCCCTGGACCCCCTTAAATGGGTGGAGACCTCAACCCCCCCAACGCTGAACCTAAAGTTATGCCCTCGCATTCATCATCTATTGAATCAAATGGTCTCATTTGATGCTGTTGGTCATCAATCAAAAATACCAGTTGTTTATCTCAAAAACCAGTTCAAACCAGTTTAGGGTTCTTTTCACTCAGATGGTTGGATATTTGAGACATATTGTTCTGACCTAATGTGCTCCTCAAAGGTTAGTCAATCTCAGGGGTGCAACTGTAGAAGCTCAGGATATTGTTTACATTGCTTTTTTGACAGAGAAAAGTGGAAGACTATCTTCTTGTAATATTGATATTATAGTTGACGTTCTTTGTGTTTTGTAGAACTGATGCTCTGGTAAGATGGGTGTCTGAGGCGAGGAGGATTGATTTCTGCTCTCGCTACACTAGCTCCATTATTCCTCTGACCTGCGTTTGTTTGAAACTCATTTTTGGAAATGAGTCCTTCAGCAATGGCAAGAAGTGCGGGGAAAAAAACACCTCTAAGTGATCAGCTGAAAGATGGGACTAAGTCAGAGGCATCGTCTTTGCCCATTGTGTTTGCTCAGATCTGTTTATGCTCAGATCAATTTCTCCACTTTTCCTTCCTTTTCGGGATAAGAGCTGCTTTCCCTTAAAAACAAGCCCTTTTTGAAGCACTGTATTGATATCACTATCAGTTTATTGATTTCTTTTATCATTATAATATTGACACTTACCTTCTGTCACAATTAACCAGTAAATAGTAAGAGTGGTGATAAAGTTCAGCACATGACCTCTGCTTACACACTTTCTATCCTGCGTTTACAAACCGGGCTCAGTAAGAGATTAAAGTATAAGCAAAGTCAAGAAATCCTCGTGATTCCAGATGTCAAAAGAAGTACTTTTAGGAATAAAATAGGACTGGTTTCCCAAAGGGCTGTGGACTGTCTTCCTGTAGCTCAGGTTCTGGGTTAACCTGGAACTGTGTGACTATACATGGTGACCAGGGAGTTCTCTGGTGCCAAGAAGACATCTGTTGCTTTGTTAATGGTCTGCTACAAAACCACCTACAGTTTCTATCCTTTTAATCTCCTAGTGGAGTTCTTTTTTGCTCAAGGGTACAATTGCAGGGTAAAATTGCAGGGTACGATTGGTTTCCCAATTGCAGACTTCCTTCTGCGTCCAATTTCTTGACCACCGTGTCTGTTGCTGCAAAGCATGCGACTGGCTGGCAGCACTCAGAGAAACTGTTCCTCTAGGTGGCGCCATAGTGACCCCACACAGCACTGTGCAGCCTATGGTGTATAAATAAGGCTGTTTGTGGCCACGCAATAATAGAGCAAATGTGCCTTGGAGAGAACAGCAAAAAGGTGTTTCCTGCTGTTAGGTGTAGGCTTCAGAGACTCAGAGAGTCTGAAGCTCGTTCACACACGGTGGTCACAGGTCCATACCATGTACACAGCAGGAATTATCCATGTCTCTCTTTTTTCTTTGGTGAAGAACATTTAAAAGGAAACTATGAGCATGGAGGTGGCAGGAAATTGAGGGCATTGTTTTTTCCTCCATATTCTCCCTCATGTGGTTTCCCGAATGCACTCCGTCACACTCCATCTGGATTGCAAACGCTGCATAGTTCTAAACCCCATTAGGACTGACAGACCACCCTTTTTCGTCCAGAGGTGAAGTACTATGACTCCTGTTATCGGCAGTGTAGTAGCATAATCTGCACAGTTTAGCGGTAAGTCAGCAGATCGGCTGTTGAGATTCGCTGCTCAGGCCCAGAAGCACGTCCTGGTATCTCCTCAGGACAGTGCGAGTCAAAGTACACCGATCCTCTAGGATTAGATAACGTCCCCTTCTGTGCCGCTGCATTGCTGTCTTGTGTTTCTGCCATAACCTGATAAAAAAATTAGCTTAACCCAAGGAAGAAGTCTGGTGGACTAGTAACTAGTAGTGCTTTTTTTTTTTTTTAAAGTAAGTTGAAAACCTCATTTTTTTAGTAAATATTTTGGTCCTCATACCCAGAGGGGCCGTAACATAGTGAGAGGGGCTAATATTTGCTTTGATGGTGTAGTTGTCGAGTCAGAGCTGGGGGGAGGGGGGAGGGGGAGGAGTTGTCAAACCATGGGGGGGCCCTTTCTTGGGGAGGCTCATGCATTAACCCTTTACTCTGGTGTTCTTGTAATTGCCTATAAAGACCATCCAGGAACAACTGGTAGAGTCTACATTGTATGTACTGAGAGCTTGATTAGTCATACACGTTGATTATGTTGAATTTAGCAGGGCATTTCCAGCGAGAGATTTTCCACTGCTGGAGCCCCTTGAAAGAACATATCTGATACGCTCTGTGCCACTGGGTGGCCATGATACGCTCTGTGTGCCACTGGCTGGCCATGATAGACTTAACCTTCTCCCAATGTTAGTTAACTCCAGCAAACAGGAGGCAGGCCTGGTATCTCATTTGCAAGCCCTGCTGTTCATGAACAGATGTTTGTGTTTAAGTGTGTGTGTGGGGGTGGGCTTTGTGGGGTGTTTTTGTAATTTTATTCAGACTTGAATAGTTATAGATTTACTTGATGTAGGCAAAGCCCTTGTAGCATGAACATATCTGGTACTGTAAACAAACATTTTAATAAAATGGGATGCCTTATCACCAGCAGTCATGATATATCAGTCAAAAGCAAATATAAATAAATGATCTGTGTCTTTCTGGCAAGCAGGGACTGTCCTTTGATGCATCCCTGTTTTTTTTTTTTTTTGTTGTTGCGAAATTCACGAGGACCGAGCAGAGGTGCGATGGCTGGTGTCCCGAACGAGAGCTTACGTGACTGTTTGCATGTGTTCTGAGTGTAAACAGCTCAGGTTATCAGACAGAGAGCCTCCCTGGGGCAGCTTGCTGGGCAGCAGCGACAGTGAGGGCAGGACCCACGATGCCCTTTGAGACCTGAACCTCTGTCGAGGTTTGGATGCGGGGTGGGAGAAGGTCTTCGCAGAATTCATTTTCTCTCTTAGGCACATTTGCAAGAAGAGTAAATATTCGGGTAACATTAAGACTTGTATTCAGAACAGCAGTGCTGAAGGGTGACTGATGCTGAAATGCTTGAATGCAAAAAAAGAGGTATGAACTTTTATGTGTTATTGAGCAAAACATTCTTAAGTGACAGCTAAACCTGTTCATAACTGGCTCATAAAGGGAATGAATAAGAGGTAATGGCCCATGAGCCATTTGTGACTAAATTGGGAAAATGTGCAATCAGTGTAGCTGCATTTTAACAGCATATTGTGCATCTAACCATTCAAGTGATTGGTTTTTACTTCTTATTTCCTGACTACAAGAAGACCTCTTGAATCCAGAAGTCAGTATGGCTGTATGGTCGGTGGCACCTGCTGTCACGCCGTGAAATTAAAGAGCTTTGAAGTGTAAAAGTTAAAAAAGCAGCTGTTGTGCACTAGAGGGGTCTGTTTCATTATGGCTGGTGGTTAAAAAAATGAGGTAAGAAGGTAGTCAACCCAATGTATCATGAAACTATGCAGATTGCTTACTTTCCAACACCTTATTTTGTGGTAAAAAAAAAGCAGCAAATTAATAGGTTACAGGGCATTTTGTAACTAATCCAATTTACTCAGTTAGTAAGTATTAAAATATTTAGCCAGTATGTCAGATGTAATGAGGAGCAGTTACTCAAAACAGTGTTTCGTGCTCTTTAATTTAAAGAACAATGTATGAATTTGAAATTAATAAAGAAAAAAAAGATGAATCTGTGGTTTTAATCACAACCTGTAGGGAGTTACCATCATTTCCCATATTATAAAAAACACTGCAATGTTTAGCAGTTTGTTAGTGACTGAAAATGCACAGGAAAAAAAATAACTGAATCATTACAAGTCACCTTTTGGGAGCAGAGAGGGGACACAAAGAAGTTGGAGCTGTTATTGTCCAGCATTGAAAGGGCAGGGGTGGTGCTGGTATCGTCAGGAGCGGAGCGAAGGCGTGGGTGATGCTCTTATTATCATGAGCAGAGAGAGACAGAAGTCATACTGTATGTTGTTGTCAGGAGCAGAGAAAGGGCTGTTGTTCCTTCTGGCCACTAGATGTCACTGTTTACAATATTGTAATAAATTTCACAATACTACAATAGTGGGTTTTTTTCCAAAAAAGAGAGAAAATGTGTTTTTAAATGACAATACAATTTTAGTAATGAGTTATTTCAAAGTTGTTTCATATTTTAATCATAAATAGAGGAGGTGCTGCGCAAATTAAAATGAGGCAGGGCGGCACATTGGGGAACGTATTCCGTGAGATGTTTCCGGGGGGGCGTAGGTGCCACATTAAGCGGAGGAATGTGTGAATTTACACCAGCTTGTGAGATGGCGTACATCAGCGGCGCTCAGATGGGAGGGAGTAAGAGGTGAATCCGTCTTTGGACGGCGCCAGCAGAAACACGTTTCCTGATGAATCCACCTTTGAACTGCTGAGCTGGTAAAAGACGTTTCCCTGGGGCAGCTGTTGGCCGCGATGGAGGTCAGGGAGGCCGTGATATGGCCTTCCGGACTCACGGTTTGCGGGGCCACCCTGGGCCCCATGGGCTGCAGTAAATTAAAGTCATGTGTATCTGCCAGGAGAGAGGAAGGCCCCCTAACCCTATAACCATGCGGGGGCCACCTCAGGTTCCTCCTGTGGTGGAGCCCTGGAAGTGGAGCAGGCGTGTTTCCCCCAGAAAAGGGCCCCACAGTTCAGGTCCCCTCACTGAACTCCGCCCCCATACTAACACAATATCAAGCACAAACGTGGGTAAATCCTGCATGGCTCACAAATACGTGGACTTACAGGAAACTCTAGACATTAGGTAGAGGTTAATCAGCCCACACAGCCTAAAGGGCAGCCTGCTTGTACTTCCAGGCTATATTAGAGTATCTTTTGCCATGTCCCTGAAATGTGACTGCGCTTATGTAATTCAGTCAAATTAAAAAGGGCAGGAGAGATTGGATGAAGGCAAAGACTTGAAGGTGGAACGTGTCGAAGTAACGTGTGTGGTCTTGCTGTTGAGCATGTTGTAGGTTAAGCACTTAACCTGACTTTAATGTATTTGTGTATTAATAGATATGTAGTAGCAGTGTAAATGAACAGGCACCAAGAGCGGTGTGTCTGAGCGACCATGAGGAAACAGTGAGGAATCACTGTGCACCTTTGGGAAGTTGGAGCTGAATCTTGTGGGACCCGTGCAGCTCATTTCCCGCCAAAGCTTGGCAGCCTGTGACAAATGGCCTTCCCGCCACGCAGATGAAGCATGTGAAGGAGGTGTTTGGTGAGGAGGCCAACAAGGAGGTGCTGCTCATGTGCATCGGCATCACGTCCGGCGTGGGCCGTCTCATCTTCGGCAGAGTCGCTGACTACGTCCCTGGTGTCAACAAAGTCTTCCTGCAGGTAGGAGAACAGTAAGGCAGGAGTGGAGGAAAAGCCATCTGATTGGCTGTGAACTTGTTCTCTGATAACCAATGGGAGAAAAGCAATAGTATGATACTATTGAAACTAGTATTGAAACGTAATCCAAATTTTATCAGTAAAGCCTGTATAGTTATAATTGACGGACAAATATGTTGCTATATTATATAAATAAATAGTTGGAATAGTTGTAAATTGTACTGAGGACTGAATTTGACATATTCAGAAAGCATTGGGTTAAAAGGGTTCAGCTTTCAGAGTCCATCCTCTGTATTCTCCTGACCACCAGGTGTCCTCGTTCCTGGTGATTGGCCTCATGTCCATGATGATCCCGCTCTGCAGAATCTTCGGCGGGCTCATCGCCGTCTGTCTTCTCATGGGCCTTTTTGATGGCTGCTTTATCTGCATCATGGCTCCCATCGCCTTCGAGCTCGTGGGATCCCAGGATGTGTCGCAGGCCATTGGTTTCCTGCTGGGCATGATGTCCGTGCCCATGATGGTGGGGCCACCCATTGCAGGTATTGTACACAACACAGCAGCTATATGCTTTCGGGGGATAGGTGTGGTTAGAGCGCCATCTACTAATAACTGCTAATGCCAGATGTTTGTTAAACTAGTTAAATATTATCTGTTTTATTCTTAAATTGTTTTTTACATTGTATGTGAAAAGTATTTTAAGCTACAGGAGTTGAAATGCATCCGCAGTTTTGAGCCACTTGTCTGAGTAGCAAGTCCCTGGGAATCAGAAACTGCATTAAGGTTTAGGCATTGAGGTCAGACTTACAGCGGATGTGTGAACCTGCATTAATGATGTCACTAACGCCCAGATTAATCAGGGCCTGAGACAGCACCTTTTAAAAGTTCAGTACTCATACCATTCCACAAGGTCCAGGGTTATTATTGTTAACGGAAACTAAAACTACAATAAAACATTTTCGTAAACTGAAATAAAATACGAAAATAAAATAAAAAAAGACAATAATAAAAAGACACTTTTGTTTATTGTTTCTGAAACTGAAATGAAATAAAAACAAATGTTAAATACTTTTGTTACAGTTTTGAATACTGTTTAGCTAAAGTAATGAGTTGTTTATCGTTAATTACTATCAAGAAAACCTGGAACATGTTTTGCCCGTTGAGATGACATTTGTACATAAGGTTCACTTTGAATTCATGTAGGATTCTCTAAAGCTCAGACAACAGAAGTCGATCCCCAGAAATAAGATTACTAAAACTCGAACTGAAATTAAAATGTATATAAAACTAAACAGAAATATATGTTTCTAACTAATAAAACCACACTGAATATTTACTAAGACTAGACTGGATTTCAAATTAAAATTTAACATAATATAACATTAAAAACTAATTATAAAAATCTAAATTGTAATACTACTGAGAAGAGCTCGATCCCATAGCCTACGAGAAAACCGTTCCTTAAAAATGTTGGGAAGCTGTCAGGACACCCTGCAAGGCATGCATGCTAGGAGATGTTTTGGAGGTCATCTCAGCTATAGGACTGTTTCTACATGTGTAATAAACTCGTTCTCCTTGCGTTGCTTTCCTTTGCTCAGGTTATCTGAGGGACAGACTGGGCTCCTACGACGTAGCCTTCTACCTGGCCGGTATCCCTCCTATCGTCGGGGGGGCTTTACTGTGCCTCATCCCCTGGGTGGAAGCCAAGCGCAAAAAGAAGGCATTCGAGACCGAGAAGGAGGCCGTGCAGACAATGCTGGAAAGCAAGAACTTCAGCAAGTGTCCAGCAGATAGGGGCAGTGCAGACAAGAGCGCTGACCCAGAATCTGTCATTTGAATCGGAAATATTCACACACACATGAACATCCAAATAAACACACATACACACATTCATACATGCAATCAATCAAGCATCGAAATAGTGCTTTTTTTATTATTTTTTTTTTTAAAAGCTGCTTTTGCAGGACAACTAGAGGGAGAAGTACTTCCACATCGGTGTTACCTAGTGATGGACAAAGTGACACTTTCATGAACCATTAGCTGGATTTTTGACCACGAGATAGCGCTCATTGTACAAAAAGGGCTTAAAGCATGCACCAAAGCAAACAAAGAGCACCATCTAGTGGTATCAAAAAATGAGCAAATGGTTCATAAAGTGTCATTTTGTCCGTTACTAGTGTAACCTATTTAAATGCACAACCGTTTCTAAATGAGTGTGATTCTAATAACCTATGCATTTCAATGCTTTTCCATTAGATAAATGAGTGGCATATGCCTATGGAAAATGTTAATGCCTTTAAAATTTGCTTATGTATAACAGATATGAAGCTTTAGAGTACTTTATCAGCCTAATAGCACTGCATCCTTGTTAGCTTGTTTTCGAAAGGAACTTGAAGCCATTACTTTAAAAATGCTTAACCTGCAATGCTCAAAACGGTAATACACTAGATAAATTCCTAGTCAGATGTATCATAAGGCAAGTCAAACACTTTCCCTGGAAAGAGTGGAAAATGAATGTTGTGCATTTCTGTGGCCAAAGAGATTGGAACTAGCTGCTAAGTTACCAGTTTAGTCCTGGTATGTTGGAGACAGCTATGAACCAAAACCATAAGAAGAGCTGAAACAGAGTTTGAGATGTGATTGTGAGGTAAATTGGGCTGATTTAAGGCTGATGTGGCCAGTGGGCGTGATCCCACTAGAGAACAATGCTGCTTATTCTTCTAAGCAAATGAACTCTGTTTTTGGAAATACTTTTTTAAAAACCAACTTATGAATGTATCGTTAATTTGCAAAATAATTGACCTGGGTATAGAATATTGCTTCAGAGAAATGAATTACAAAATAACAATAGGATTTTATTTTAATGAAACTGTACTCTAAGGTGCTGTGATATACTAAGCATCTTTTAGCAGAATAGTAAGTCTCACAATGCTAAACACATTAAGGGAACATACATGCATCACCTCTGTAGGCGTGTAATGGAAAATCATCCCAGCTGTTAAAAACTGAAATTTCACATTTGTGGGGTTTTTCCCCCCCTCCCGTTATGCAGTTGAAAATCCAGTTCAGTGGTAGTTAATTTTTATCACTGTTTGGGTTTCACTGAAATGTTAGGTGATGCAAAGAAAGCGTGTTTCTATGGTTGACTTTCTATGCCTGGCTTCTCTATGCAATGTAGATATGTGATGTCGCCATGCTGAGTGACATGAGCGCTTTTACAGGAAACAGTGAATGGATGAAGTTGTACATTCAGTCACTAAGTGCATATGATATTTAAAGGCGTGTAATCAGCACATAAACATCCAGGATTGTATTACCAGCACTATCATAAACCGATTTCCGGTTTGCTAATACCACAGGGTGACCCTTCCTTCAAAGCTCAGTTTTACATAACCACCGAGATATGTTCAAGTTAAATATATATCTAAATGTGTTAATTGGAAACCTACATTTCTTTCTTATTTATTTTGCTTTGTGTCTAGAATTTGTCTTGGCTTTGCTCTGTGTGTTGTTCATCGAGACATTTGCCATAAATAATAAGTCTTACTGGTGCTCTTAAAATGCACATTAACTGATTATCAAAGAAGGGCCTGTGTATCACATCTGTACTGTGTTAAAATGACTACTTATCGTTAATACTCTTGTCTATGGTATCAAGGAGATATTAAATCAGTTTCTCAAGGTTTTAAAAGATATAGAATTATGAAAGTGATTAACAAAAACATTTACAATGGAAATTGAAAAAAAAAAACATTACTTTTGCAGTACTTTTGCATAGCGTCTACCTCAGAATACTTGGGCAATCTTGGGATATTTATCTTAAGCCCCAAAGGGCATCGCTGTGAGTTACCATTTCATTCCATTTTGTGAGGTCTGACATTCAATTTCACTAACTTTCAATTTTTTATGTTTTTGGGCCAACATTTTACCCCTCCTCACACCTCCCATTGTAATACACTTTTAATTCATCAGACATTCAACAACCAATGCCTGAATGGTTAAAATGCTATATATCTAAGGAAATTGTATGTAAAAACCCAAAAGAGAATTTTTCTATGAAACAGTGCCATTACACTTTGATATCCTGCAACGTTATATAGTATTGAACTTCAGCGGCATGGATATTTGGAATGTGTGTATATATATATAGCATTTTACTATAATGCATTATATTTGAAATAAACCATTTACCATTTATTTTGTGACAGTCTTGGCTTAAACTGTGTAATGAACTATGGATGTAACCATTATTATTAGTAAATTTATTAGTGTTTTCTGATAGTATTTTGAGGAAAAACACTGAATATTGTGGAAAACCCCTTATATACATGCGATCTATTTGTACAACAGATCCTTTTATATGTATGTTATATAACGATACATATATGTTTATTTTATTCTGCTCATGTTGTTTATTTATGTACGTTATCTTTCTGACTTACAGTGTTTTCATTGAAGAGTAGAATAGACATTCTGTTGTGTTAATGATCTGTAGCACCTCAAATGTTAAAGTATCTAAGAGAAACATTCACTTACAGCTATGTAACGAAGTTGGGCAAATTCTAGTTTGCAGCGCATTGTTAGAAACAGCGACCTCTGCTTGTGGAAGAGCACCAATATATTTTTTTCTGTTAGACTAAATATTTCATTTACACTATCAATCCAAAGATTTAAATGTGAAGCATTTACTATTACTTTTAAAAGAATATAGTATATATATTAGTAAATTTAGATGTTTTTAACATTTTCTTTATATTTTTTGAAAGAAAATTGCTAACTACCAAATAACATTATTTACTGGGAATAGTATATATTGAGAATACAAGGAATATTCTATTAACGCCATATTGTGTGAAATTGAATCTTTTCTATAGCTTATATGTTTCTTTTCTCAGCTGTATCCAATAAGAAAAAAACTCATCTCTATTTGAAGTGTAATGCATTTAAGAACCTGCACGCACATATTTGGGTTTTCTGTCGCTGTGCACTGATTAATTAAAGTGCATCCCCGAATTCCCTGTCACGCAAGGTTGTTGGGTTATTTTCCTCATTTTTTTGTGCCTTAAAACTTTTTCGGAGCATTTACCTGTGGCATGGAAAACATAGGTTTTTGAAAATCATGACATATTTTGTATTAACTTTTAAGTCCCTAATTCCTGCATTTGTATCTTTTTGCTGATTGCATGATTTTTTAATTGGACTTTTCTAGTATGCAATGTACTTGTCCGCAGATTGTATTCCGATTGTATGATCACTTGGTTAAAGAGTAAAGAATTGTTAAATTTTTCCTAACTTAAATGAAATGTTTCTTGTCTCCTACAAATGAAAAGCCCATACATTGCGATTACTTGGACAAAGTCTGCTTTAAATTAGCGATGGCGCCTACACGAGCACACCATCAGCTCAACTCAAGAACTCGAGATGCTACAATACTTCTTGTCTGTACAGCACACGTAACATAATGTCACAGATATGTCTCTCATCCAAAATGTAGTTCACGTATTAGGACATATCACAGATACATCCCATTTCACCCGTGCCGTCACTAATCATGAAGAATGACGTGTGCCTGAGTCATTTAGACAGATTCAGTACAGTGTATTAATAATAAGTATATCTCTACATCGATATTCAATGTTGCTGAAGCCAAACCCAAGAAACATATGGCACAATATAGGGATACTCCTTTGATTTGACTCATGTCCATTACAGGACGTTACTCCACAAATTCATCCATCCATCCGTCTTCCAACTGTTTATCCTGTGGGGGGCTGCACCAAACAGGTACATTCTGGATGGGATGTCAGTCCCATGTGGGACAATGAGTCCATAATACTGCTAACTCGTTTCATTTTATGCCACAGTTTATCGCCTGTGACATTTGCTAGTAAACAATCTTACGTCATTTAATCAGCGCCCAGCGCTCTGAGCACACACCGCCCGTGTCACTGATTTCAAATCGGATCCCGTTCCGCCGTCCCTGTCTTCAGCGTTACTTAGTTTAGGCACAGAACTGATCCCGGATCGGTGCATGCCGTCTCCGCGCGTCCCTGCGCGTCATAGCGTCATGTTTGCTTCCTGTGTCGGCTTTCATTTAATCGCTGCCCTGGTTTACCTGACGGGCTTCTCCGCGGTAGCAGGCGGCCGCTTTGCCTCTCACCTGTCAGCTAGAGGCCTGCCGGAGCGAACATGAACTATATGTAATGTCGCAGAAGAGGCTGATCTGAAAGCGGGGTCCCTGTCATTTCCCTGCAGCGACCACGGCGGCCGCGTTTAGCACAGCTGGTCGGTAAGCGGCCGCGGACGGAGCACCATGTCTGCCTCGGCCACCGGCGAGCCGGCGGCGAAAAAGAAACAAGTCCGCTTCGCCCGGGTCGGGGAGGACGAAGACAATGAGGACCAGGATGAGGACACCCTCTTCGATAAGAGGAAGGAGGCCAGAGGCGGGCTGAAGAGCGTGATGAAGCGGGTGCGCAGGCTGGACGGAGCCGGAGCCGGCAGGGTGGCCGTGCTGGGGCCGGACGGCGGGGCCGCCGCCTCCGGGACCTGCAGTCAGTGGATGGTCACGGTGGCTCTCTGCGCCTCCTTTCTTGGGCTGGTAATGTAATTCTTAATATAGATTACTCTTCTAAGTTAGGCGGAGAAATAAAACGAGCCGTCATTTAGGTTTCGCTCTGTGTTTTGTCACTTAAACGTTAAGCAGCATGTAACCTGATCACTGAATGGAATGTCCCATTTAATTCCATTTATTTTTTTTATACTCATACTAATAATACTGGTTAGTTTCAGAAATCCAGTACTCTAAGAATGGTTCGTTGTTTTACTTGAGAAGGGATCTAGTACGAATAAAAACATTGGGGTTATCGTGTCTGTGTGTGTGTGTGTGTGTGTGTGTGTGTGTGTCTGTGTGTGTGTCTGTGTGTGTGTCTGTGTCTGTGTGTGTCTGTGTGTGTGTGTGTCTCTGTGTGTGGAGTTCTTATGTCCTCCCATTGTCCTGGTTCTCTGGTTCCATCATGCACTCCAAAGACCCTGATATCCCTGTTCTAGGTGTACCACAGCATGTGTGCTGAGCTTCCCCCTCCTTATTTCTTCCAAAGGCAAATAGCAATACTTTTTAAAGTAATTATGATGTCATGACACTGTGGTTGGTTGTTGGATAGGTAATCATGTTGCTGTACAGAAGCAGTTGTATGTGAAGGTTTTATAAATTGACCATCTGGTCAGCCTTAAACAGCATGCCGTCTGTTGAAGTTGTTTTTGTGACGCATTTTCACATGAAATGCATGTGCTCAGTATTTAAGTTACAATTCTGCCGGCAAATCACCCTGCATGGTTTTTCCGTGCCGTGAATGTAACACTCAGAATTTGCCTGAGTGAGCGCAGATATTTGGATCTCGCACTTGTTACACCATCCCTTGTCTGTGATCAGGGTTAGCCAGAGAACATCCAGCTGCTGGTAACATGGCACTGAGAATACAGAGAATGTAAGGAGAAATTCAGGTGACGGTGGACTAGTTTAAGTTTGTGATTTGTAAAGCCTGAACCTGAATAAAAAAAATAAAAGTCTATATTACTGATTTCAGTGCTTTTTCTACAGTCGTAGGACGTAACTTTCTTAGTTATATATACAGCTGACGGACCTGAAGCGGATTAGCTGTGGCAGGTAAATCGTTTCGTTTACATTCGTTAAATTCGTTTACATTTTATTTATTTTGCACCTACTTTTATCCAAAGTGACGTAGAGTTGAGGGCCTTGCTCAGGGGCTCAATGGTGAGATCACTGTGCCGACCGTGGGATTCACACTGGCCTGTGAGCGGTGCCGACGTTGTCGTGTTTCAGGGAATGAGCATCTCAGTGCTGGGGCCCACGTTCGGAGACCTGGCCTCTAACGTCAGACAAAGCATCAGCAACATCTCCTACATCTTTGTGGGACGCTCTGCGGGCTACATGGGGGGCTCTGTGGTGGCTGGGTTCCTCTTCGACATCATGAACCATCATCTGCTTCTGGGTAAGCCTCCATATCGGCTGCGTTGGTGGGTCTGCTCTCGCATGGGGACGCTTTTACTTGCTCTGCATTGGTGTTTTGAAGCCCCTTGTGTCCAGAATGGAAGTTAATGCCGGTAATAGAATCGACGGTTGGCTAATGTGGGTTTCCGGCAGCCATTTTGCCTGTGGTGCTTTCAAAAACAATTTGAGCACTTTGTTCCTGCAGACACATTTATTTGGCCACCTGTTCTACGAAAGCCGCTGTAGCTCCTTGGAGGTGCAGTCGTGCTGCGTTGATTTGGTAGCCACTGCACCACGGTAAACCTTACGTTACTTTTACTTATCTGTTGGACATTTTAATCCAAAGCAAGATACAAGTGAGAATCAGAGAGCAGGGGTCAGACTGTTCCTGAAGTAGCTAAAGATTATAGGCTTTGATCAAGGAGCCTGCGGTGGCATCATTCATCCTGCCGGGGGATTTGAACTTATGACCTTCTGATCATGGAAACAGAGGCCTGCCTTGCAGAGCTGTGTGTAATGCTGTCGGGTGCTGTGCTAGCTGTCTAGCTGTTTGAATATGAGTCATAAATAAGCTTTTGGACAGGATATTTCTCAATACTATGGGGTACATACATTTTGTTGGTGTACAACTGTTCATTTATTCGCGTAATGCATTATTCCATTTGCCGGTATCGCTTAGAACG